AATTTAGTCGCTAAATTTGCCACAATTGGCAACTAAAAAAATATTTTGGTCGCTGTATAGATAGTTTTGGCAATTAAAGTAATTTAGTCGCTGAAAGAAAAGTGAAAATTTATTTTTTATCTTTTGGTGACCAAAATTTTGGTCGGCAAAAATGTAATTTCAGCGACTAAAAAATATTCTAGTTGCTGTATAGATACTTTTGGCAACTAAAATAATTTAGTCGCTGAAAGAAAAATAAAAATTTACTTTTTATTTTTGGCGACCAAAATTTTGGTCGGCAAAAATTTAATTTCAACGACTAAAAAATATTTTGGTCGCTGTATATATAGTTTTGGCAACTAAACTAATTTAGTCGCTGAAAGAAAAATAAAAATTTACTTTTTATCTTTGGCGACCAAAACTTTGGTGGGCAAAAATTTAATTTCAGCGACTAAAAGATATTTTAGTCGCTGTATAGATAGTTTTGACAACTAAAATAATTTAGTCGCTTAATGAAAAATAAAATTTTACTTTTTATCTTTGCCGACCAAATTTTGGTCGGCAAAAATGTAATTTCAGCGACTAAAAAATATTCTAGTCGCTGTATAGATATTTTTGGCAAATAAAATAATTTAGTCGCTGAATGAAAAATAAAAATTTACTTTTTATCTTTGGCAACCAAAATTTTGGTCGGCAAAAATTTAATTTCAGTGACTAAAAAATATTTTGGTCGCTGTATATATAGTTTTGGCACCTAAACTAATTTAGTCGCTAAAAGAAAAATGAAAATTTATTTTTTATCTTTGTCGACCAAAAGTTTGGTCGGCAAAAATTTAATTTCAACGACTAAAAAATATTTTAGTCGCGGTATAGATAGTCTTGGCAACTAAACTAATTTAGTCGCTGAATGAAAAATGAAAATTTATTTTTTTATCTTTTTGCGACCAAAATTTTGGTCAGCAAAAATGTAATTTCAGCGACTAAAAAATATATTAGTCATTGTATAGATACTTTTGGCAACTAAACTAATTTAGTCACTGAAAGAAAAATGAAAATTTATTTTTTATCTTTGGCGACCAAAAGTTTGGTCGGCAAAAATTTAATTTCAACGACTAAAAAATATTTTGGTCGCTGTATATATAGTTTTGGCAACTAAAATAATTTAGTCGTTGAATGAAAAATAAAAATTTATTTTCTATCTTTGGCGACCAAAATTTTGGTCGGCAAAAGTTTAATTTCAGCGACTAAAAAATATGTTAGTCGCGGTATGGATAGTTTTGGCAACTAAAATAATTTAGTCGCTGAATGAAAAATAAAAATTTATTTTTTATCTTTGGCGACCAAAAGTTTGGTCGGCAAAAATTTAATTTCAGTGACTAAAAAATATGTTAGTTGCGGTATAGATAGTTTTGGCAACTAAACTAATTTAGTCGCTGAATGAAAAATGAAAATTTATTTTTTATCTTTTGGCGACCAAAATTTTGGTTGGCAAAAATGTAATTTCAGCGACTAAAAAATATTCTAGTCGCTGTGTAGATAGTTTTGGCAACTAAAATAATTTAGTCGTTGAAAGAAAAATAGAAATTTACTTTTTATTTTTGGCGACCAAAATTTTGGTTGGGAAAAAATTAATTTTGACGACTAAAAAATATTTTGGTCGCTGTATATATAGTTTTGGCAACTAAACTAATTTAGTCGCTGACAGAAAAATAAAAATTTACTTTTTATCTTTGGTGACCAAAATTTTGATCGGCAAGAATTTAATTTCAGCAACTAAAAGATATGTTAGTCGCGGTATAGATAGTTTTGGCAACTAAACTAATTTAGTCGCTGAATGAAAAATAAAAATTTATTTTTTATCTTTTGGTGACCAAAATTTTGGTCGGCAAAAATGTAATTTCAGCGACTAAAAAATATTTTAGTCGCTGTATAGATAGTTTTGGCAACTAAAATAATTTAGTCGCTGAATAAAAATAAAAATTTACTTTCACTCATCACTCTTTCTCTCTCTTTCTGTCTGTCTATCTCTCTCTTTCTCTCTGTGTCTCTGTCTCTCTTCTCTTTCTCTCTCTCTCACTCATCACTCTTCTCTATCTGTCTGTCTCTTTCTCTTTGTGTTTCTGTTTTTGTCTGTCTCTCTTCTTTTTCTCTCTCTCACTCATCACTCTTCTCTGTCTGTCTATTTGTTTCTTTGTCTCTCTCTCTCTGTGTGTCTCTCGCGTATCTCTCTATCTCTGTCATTTGTCTATGTCTCTCTGTCTCTTTCGTTCATCTCTCTTCTCTCTATCTCTCTTGCTCATCTCTCTTCTCTTGCTATCTCTCATCTCTCTTTTCTCTCTGTCTCTCTCGCTTATATCTCTTATCTCTATCTCTCTCGTTCATCTCTCTTCTCTCTGTGTCTCTCTTACTCATTTCTCTTCTCTTTATCTCTTTCTCTGTCTCTCTCGTTCATCTCTTCTTTCTCTCTTTTTCTATCTCACTCTCTATCTCTTTCTCTCTTTGTCTCTCTCTCTCTCTTTCTCTCTCTCTTATTTTTCTCTCTCTTACTCATCACTCTTCTCTGTCTGTCTGTGTCTCTGTCTCTTTTTCTCTTTCTCTTTGTCTCTCGCTCATCTCTCTTCTTCTTATCTCTCTCATCTTTTTTCTTTCTCTATCTCTCTCACTCATCTCTCATCTCTCTACCTCTCTCTCTGTCTCTCTTGCTCATTTTTCTTCTCTTTCTATCTCTCTCTTTTCTATGTCTTTCTCTCGATCATCTCTTTTCACTCTCTTTCTCTCTCTCTTTGTCTATCTCTCACTCATCCTTTGTTTCTCTCTTCTCTGTCTCTATCTCTTTCTCTCTCTGTCTCTTTCTCTTTCTGTCTCTGTCTCTGTCTCTGTCTCTCTCTCACTCATCACTCTTCTCTCTCTCTTTCTCTCTCTATGTCTGTCTCTCTGTCTCTCACTCTTTCTCTCTGTGTGTCTGTCTGTCTCCCCTATTGTGTTCACTTTGCTCACTCTCTCATTCCCCTCTTCTCTATTTACCGAGCTTTTCACTAGGCAAAAAAGCACTTTTGGCGATCACTCTGTCTCTCTCTCACTCATCACTCTGTCTCTGTCTCTCTCTCACTCATCTCTCTCTCACCACCTACCATTGTTGCCACTCTACCTCTACGACTACCATTATTACCACCATCGTTACCACTCCACTACCACTACCACCACTACTACTACTATTACCTCTCCTCTACCACCGTCGCTCCATCTCATCTACCACTACCACAACTTCACCACTAATCTCCTTCGCCATTACCACTACACTATCACCAGTTTCGCCATCACAACTCCACCTCTCTATCTCTCTCTTGCTCATTTATCTTCTCTCTCTCTCTTTCACTCATCTCTCTTCTCTATCTCTTTTCAAATATTTTTTTTTCAATTATTGATTTTTTCCAATTATTTTTTTTTTCAATTATAATGTGTATGATCCCATCATCATAAATAATAAAAAATATAAATATAAATATTTTAGGCCTAAACAAACATGTTTTTTAGTTTATATTTTTAAATTTTTTTAAACATTTTGTTCAAACCAAACGCGTTTGTAATATATGTTTTTCTAAAAATAAACAAAAACCAATTTATAAAATTTATGGAAAATATTTTTCATTAAAATATTACCCCTACTTCTACCAAAGTAAAAAAATAAGAATTATTTTTTATTCATTAAAATAAAAATGAAACAAATAAATTTTCAACCTTAATAACTAAAAAAAAAAGAATAAAAAAAAAATCATTAACTATTAAAAAAAATTATTTTAACAAAAAATAAATTTTTTTTTAAAAAAGAGCCATTTTGTTGTTTAAATATTACCAAAAAAACAAAAAAATATTCCCGGTCGATTTCCTACCCCCTTTTTTCCATTCCCGCTCGGCTTCGCCCCCTCCCCATCTCTTGAACCAAAATTTCCAATTTGAAAAACCAAAAATCCCCTTCAACCAAAAATCCCTAATTCTTACGGCTCCGCCGAATTCGAGAAGATATGACTAAGAGGGTATCTAGGCTCCAATCTGTGGAGATCGAAGCCATGGCCGTTTGCCACTCATTTTCCACGATTGTACTAACGGTTGTAGCCACGACTACTGCCGGCTAGTGAGGAAGAGAAGAGATGAGTGGCGAGCGTTTAGAGATGGAGGTGCAAGACGAAAGTGAAGAAAAGGTGTGTAGCTTTGCAAAGTTGTTTTTTTTTTTTTTTGGAATTGGAGAGGCGAAATAGACAGCTTTGCAAAGTTGTCTCCCAGACGATATTGCCCTCAAAATCGCCTCTTCTCTTTAGGTTTCTTCCCTGCAAATTGTTTTTATTGTTATTTGAATGTGATGATTTTGTTTATTTTTATTCTTTTTATTCTTTTTTCTTTTTTGGAATTTCAAGCTATTAGATGTGTAGTCGTTGGGTAGTTGCTCATGGTTTTGGCGCGTGCTGTGTGGGTCGGATTGTGTGTGGGAGAGTCTGTACAGAGACAGATGGCCAGCCCTTGATTTGGGCAGAGACTCTTCTTCAGCTCCACAGATCAAAACCCATCAGCTTGACCCACAAATTCAGTCCTCCTCCATGGTTCTCTCTCTCTCTCTCTGTCATATTCAGTTCATTATCTTGTTTGCTCTTTTTTTTTTCTTTTTTTTTTTTGGGTTCAGTTTCTTGTTTCAATTATTTGATTTTGGGAATTTTGTGTTATGTGCTTGAATGAAGTGATTATTAATAGTGCAACATAATTTAATTTATTTGGGTTTGTTACTCTGTCTATTGTTTTTTAGCTGGGTTTGAACTTTGAAGTCTTTATGAGGACAATACCTTTGTCAATTTCTATTGAAATATAGAATGGTGTCCTATGCATTTTTCGTGCAACATCCCCTTTTTAATGAGAACAATTGTAGACTTTAGAATGTTGGGGACACTGACAGTGTCCATGACTTCACGCTTTATTGTACTTTGATTAGGTTCCTACAGTAGATAATACCTTACTAAAAGTGAAAAGTGAAATTCAGTCACAATACATGGATAAAATGGAAGAGACTAGAGGGTCCTACCTTACTAAAGAAAATAGTGAGGGGGATATTTCTGTCAAAGGTCTGCCAGGAATACAACTGACAGAAGAAGAAGAGAAGGAAATTGGCAATGTTGGATGGAAGCAATTTTTGGATTACATCCTCGTCTCAAAGGGATCGTTGATGCTTTCTTCAGTAATAATTACTCAGATTGGTTTTGTTGCTCTTCAAGCTGTTTCAAGTTATTGGCTAGCTTTCGGCATTCAAATTCCTAAAATTAGTAGTGGCATTGTCACAACCCAAACCCGCCCCTAAAAGTTTGGTCCATGACCGGCCTGTACATAGGCCTCAAAACAGAATTTAGAATAATATATAATTACATATGGGGCCTTATAAGTGAAAGCAATGTCAATATAAGACAACATCCATTGAGCTTGTGCATACCTGATGGTTTAATTAGATTTAAGCATTAAATATATTTCCAAATAAACATATACAATCACAAAATTTATATAGATCTCACACACCCTTACAGAAGATTTACTAATTTATATGACTCCCAACAATAAATTAAGGCCTCCACGGGGAGACATACCCCAGGTGTCTCAGCAGACAGGCGAACCTTGGTACAACTCTAGTGTCAATCCCCGATGACTCACCTACAGAAATATACATAAAATAGAATGAGCAAAGCTCAGTGGATATTAGCACTCAAACAATTTAATGATTAAACTTGAGTTGTAATATTTATAACGTATATAAGTGCAAAGGTCATATAATTACTCTTGTCTTGTAAACATTTTCAGAACGGCCTTGGCCCCAGTCTTTAAACAGAATGGCTTTAAGCCCTTGAACAGAGTGGCATTAAGCCCTTAAACAGAATGGCATTAAGCCGTTAAATAGAGTGGCATTAAGCCCTTAAACAGAATGGCATTAAGCCCTTGTTCATACATGTATAAACTCAAGAGGTGTCTCGCACGGATTCTAGAGGTGACTCACATTGTAGCACTTAGTTTCTGTATAGCAGTTTGTTTCATACAAGAAATACAGAATGGCCTCTGGCCTAACAAATTATACAGAATGGCCATGGACCCAGATTGGCTTTAAGCCCAGTTCACATGTGCATGAACTCAAGAGGTGTCTCGCACGGATTCTAGAGGTGACTCGCATTGCAGCACTTAGTTCCGTACAACATTTTGTTCCATACCAGAAATCAATTATATCATGTCATAGCATAAACGAAATAGATAAACAGAACAGAATAATCCCAGACTCATAGGAATACCGTTCACAATAATGCACATAAATTTTGCCCATGGTTTATCACAAGTTGACATAGTTGTCTTACATATAACAAATCCTTAACAATAACTATTAACAAATAAAGCAACCCATAATTCTATCCGATTAGCCATTTCGATGATTCATTATAAGATATTCAAAACATCATGTTCTTAGTAGGTGGGGCTTATATTCACAATTTCTTCCTGTCGACAATTTGTACAGTATTAATTCATGCAGAGACATAGGCAATCTACAGTTTCTAATCATTTATAACAGTTAACGTAATTAACTTGCGAAGAACAGAGCGTTAATAATAAGAATTATTAACGGTAGGTAAATGTACAACTACAGTACTATTACTCACAGTGGTAGGTCTCTGATAGCGGTGGAACGATGTCCTCGTCTTGACCTATAAGTACAGTGCACAACACATAATATGAGATTATACTCGATCCTTTACTTATTCTCTTTGATCATTCAATCAATTAGCCATGGTGGTACCAAGCTCATTATTCCTTAATAAGTTATACTCCATGTCTCAGAAAACAGGAGAAATCAATGGGAAATGGTTTAGGTGAAGAAATGGTATAAAATTGGTTGACAAAAAGTGAATAGACGTCACTAATTTGGGCATAACTATTTCTGTATTTATAATTTTGGAGTGACACCACCGTCATTGGAAACTAGACTTCCGGGGCTTGATTTTAGGCTCAAGAATCACTCAAAACAGAGTCCCGTGGAAAAAGATATGCTTATTCAAAGTTGGCTGAACAGAGTTGTCTCCCGCACGTGCGGGAAACAGAGCCGCACGTGCGGCCCTGGGCAGTTTGCAGTTCGAAAATGGCTGAAAAATTGGGACTTCTCATTTTCAAAATCAAACCTTCATTCCATGTAAATCAAAGCCCAAAACCCTTTAATACATGACCAATTTCACATTATTAATCTCCATTAAACATCATAACTCAAAATATGATTCAATTCCCAAGCGCAAGAACATAAGAACATAATATAGCCATAGTTGGGGTTCAAAGTTCACATCTCCCATATCAATCCTTGATTTCATGTAATTGATGCTTTAAACATAAGGATTCAAGATAGATGGTCATACCTTAGCTCAATCTTTGTTTTTCTTTTTGTTCTCTTCAATTTCCCTAAGCTTCCATGGTTGATCTTCTTTCTTTTTCTTCAATTTCTTCAAACCCCCATGGATTTGAGAAGCTTGCCTCTCTTTCTCTCTTCTTCTCCTTGAGTTCTCTCTTTCTCACGTGTCTTCCTCTCTCTTTCTACCTTAGATATTTTTAACTCAAATATCGTGAGTTCCCCAACTCACATAACATGTCTCCATATATATAAATATATACACACTTAAGCTTTCCACAATAAGGAGGCCAAACACGCCCTTACGAATCGCACAAAATCAAATTTCAATTAAACTTCCCAGATGACTCTAAAAATTATGCTGATCATAAATATGCCCTCTGTTCTGGTTTCTGAAGCCTCTACGGCCTTCAATTTTGCAGTACAAAATTAACCAACTAAACATGCATTAACGAATCAGACAAATTAGAATTCCAATTAATTTTCCCAAATAGTTCTAAAAATTCCCATTAACATACCCGAGTACTTAATTTTGATTTTTGAATCCGTAAAGGTCTTCAATTCCAATTTTAAAGTCATAACTCAACAGATAGTTCTTCAATTCCAATAGATATAATTAAAATAAAACACATTATCCCCTAGTTAAATAAGGATGACTTCTTATACGCATTTTGGGGTCGTTACAGGCATCTTAATTGGAGTATACACTACAATTTCGACAATAAGTACCCTCTTTGTATATCTAAGGTCTTTATCCTCAGCTCTTCTAGGATTAAAAGCTTCGAAGGCTTTCTTTTCAGATTTCACTAATTCTATTTTCAATGCTCCTATACTCTTCTTTGATTCCACCCCAGTTGGACGAATTTTGACCTGATTAAGATTTTATTCTTCTTCAATCAATTCTAAAGTAACCATAGTATTTATGTATCGTAGTGAAGTGTAATGTATTGCATAGCTAGTTACTAATATGCACTTTTATATACATGCTTGTTATATGTAGGCTTCATCAGATTTATGTGTGGTGGATTTCGACATACCTTTCTCATTTGCCTTTGTGATTGCTCCTTTAATTGAATCGGTAGCAATCATTGGCATTATGGCGTCAGTCACATGGCAAGTTCTCTTTGTAGCATTCTTTGCTACAGTGGCTTTAAAATATGTTCAGGTGAGTTTCATTTTCCAACTTAATAGTAATATTTTTCTTATTTTCATTGATGAAAGGAAAATTTTAATTAAGAAAATTCTTTATTGACTCAAGGGATATTATCAAGCCTCTGCAAGGGAACTAATGAGAATCAATGGAACAACAAAAGCACCTGTGATGAATTATGCAGCCGAGACCTCACTTGGAGTGGTAACTATAAAAGCATTTAACATGGCAAACAGGTTCTTCCAAAACTACCTAAAGCTTGTAGACAATGATGCAAAACTTTTCTTTTACTCCAATGCAACCATAGAGTGGTTAATTTTGAGAGTAGAAACACTTCAAAATCTGACTTTATTCACTACTATTTTTCTCTTGGTTTTACTTCCCAAGGGTTATGTTGATCCAGGTATAACTATGGTTCAGTGGAATAATTCATTTATTGCTTAGAAATTTTCTTTTAGATTCTTAAAACATGTTTTTTTTGCAGGGCTTGTTGGACTTTCTCTTTCTTATGCTTTGGCTTTGACAAGAACCCAAGTGTTCATGATTCGATGGTATAGTAGCTTGGCTAATTATATTATTTCAGTGGAACGAATCAAACAGTTCATGCACATACCTCCAGAGCCTCCAGCAATTGTGGAAGATAGAAGGCCACCATCTTCATGGCCTTCTAAAGGGAGGATAGACTTACAAGATCTAAGGGTAAGGGAACTTATTATTAATCCCACTACATATGGAGGGTAAAGATAATTAATTAACTCATTTTCCTCCCCATTGACGTAAATAATTATTTAGTCAATTCTATTTTATTTCTTTATCCAATAATGTTAATCTTATGACAGGTTACTGTGTTTCCCAAGAAGCCTTTGGATGGAGCTCATGAGATACAGAGTTTTTGCCTTGGGCATACCAAATGAGTGATTTTTTTTGTTATCACATGTTTATATTACATCAGTGGTAAGAGAAAACGAAGTTGACAGCAGACATGAATTGGGGTTTTGGCTTATGTCTCTGAGAATTTTGCTGCTTGAGCTAAAAATAAATATTTTTTTTTTGGAAAAGTTATTAACATAGTGACATTGAGAATCCGATTGTAGCATCTATCTGACATAATGGTCCAGATTAACTTAATACATTTTGTTATAACAGACGGATGTTTTTTGGCTGATGTTTATTTAACTTCACTCAATGCTTGTCAATTATAAGGTTTTGAACTAGATAGCTTTTGAACTACATATTTAGTAATATTCTACATATTTATTAATATTCTACATAGATAGATTTTGCTGGAAAATTGAGTATCTTATCTTATCTGTTTCACTAATTGATTTGTGTGTCTTTCTCTTTGTTGAATTTCAATATCTGTGGTTCTACTCACACAGCAATGATTACCTTGAAATATGTCATTGTCACAAGGCAATATATGAGACTTCCTCTGTCAAAGAAGGCCCTGCTCAGTGGATACCAGTATCAAAACTAAACTTGTGCTCTTTTTTTTTTTTTTCTTTGTCTGAAGGAGGGAAAAAAATAGAAAAATAAGCTTTCTCCATTGTTTTTCAGCTTGTCTAACAATTATTTGATGCAGGTCCTACGGAAAATATGCTGGTATTTAGTTTTGTCACCTCATGATCCTATGCAGTCAAGCCTTCTTAATTCCACATTGGAGGATAAAGATCCAATAGTAAATTCCTAATTTTAGGTATGTCTATCCAATTAATCTAAAACCAATAGTAATGACAAAAAAAAAAAAAAAAACAGAGAGCATAGTTTTGTTCTGTTAACACTATTGGATGCTTGCCCTTCTGTTCTGTCATAGGTTGCTCTTCAAACAGCTTGTTACAGTGGAGGTTATTCAGTGGATGACTTTATGGCATACATTCAAGGATGAATTTGAGAATGAAAAGAACATGCTTGGTGGTTCTTTAGGTAACAGAGCAGCTGAAGATTTGAAACAGAGAGTAATAGAACATGTAATCTTTCACTCATGTTCAATTATATATTTCAATTATATGCTGCAATGGTTCATCTACAAGAAATATTGTTTCTTGCAGAACATCCTTGTTGTCTCAAAGTATTACTGAAGGATTACCTTGGCGAGACTTGCTAAGCTGCTTTGTCTCATTGTTTAGGTATGCCAATACTTAATTGTGGTTTAGTCATCATCAAATGTTTGTAATGTAATCATATAAATTTTTGCCATATGGTTAATTTTTTTTTTTATGAGAATACTTCATTTTGGATGTTTTTCTAGATTCTAACTTTTCTTATTTTATTTGTAGGTGACTTCCAAAAACGATCAAGCACACGACTGATGCTTCAAAACCATATATATTCCTTCATGTTTTAGAATTTTTTTTTGGATTCCTTCATTGATTTTCCTTTTAATTTTTGTTCAATTACTTACTGGTTTTCAATGGATGGATGTTTAAAACTTGTCTCAATTAATGTTTTGAATGGAATGATTGTAAAGTTTGGGATTGAGCAGGAAAATATGATGAATTTTAATGTTATATTTAGGTTGGGTTGAATGAATTTTGTTCAATATTGGATTGAATGTTTATAAACAAAAATTGATTGTTCAAAAAAAAAAAAAAAAAGAGATTCGGCGACTAACTAATTAGTCTTTGATTGTTTAATGTCTTTTGGCGACAAAATATTTGGTTAAGAAAAGTTTTGGCAACTAAATAATTGGTCGCCAAATTCTACACTTTTGCGACTGAAATCATTGGTCGGCAATTCCTTACCTTTTGGCGACTAAATTATTAGTTGGCGATTCCTCAACCTTTGGCGACGAAAATAGTTGGTCGCCGATTTTTTGCTTTTGGCGACAAACATATTTTGTTGGGAAAATATCACTTTTCGCGACCAAAGTATTTTAGCGACTAAATGAATTAGCCGTGGTAATGATATATTTAGCGACCAAAAATTTAGTCGGCAAATCTAACTTTTTCCCGACTAACAAAAGTTTTGGTTCCCAATTACTTTTGCCGACCCTCAATTGGCGACCAAAGTGGCGACCAAAAAAATTGGTTGCGAATGACTTTTGCCGACTAAAAATGGACTTTTGCTGACCAAATTTTTAGTCGGCAAAAGTGTAATTTTTTTGTAGTGAATATTGCCGACCAATCTTTTGGTCGTGGAATGTGACAATTTGCGACCAAATTAGGTGGTCGTGGAAATGGGCGACAAATGCCGACAAAACTATTTGGTCGTTGAATGTGCGAATTGGCGACTAACATGTTTGATCGAGAAAATATGACTTTTCGCGACTAAAGTGTTTTAGCTACTAAATGGATTAGTTACAGTAATTATATATTTAGCGACCAAAAATTTAGTCAGCAAATATAACTTTTTCGCGACTAAAATTTTTTTTAGTTGCTAATTACTTTCCGCAACCCTCAATTGGTGACCAAAGTGGCGACCAAAAAAATTAATCGCGGATAACTTTTGCCGACTAAAAATGAACTTTTGCCGACCAAATTTTTAGTCGGCAAAAGTGTGAATTCTTGTAGTGATTGGTGTGACATTGGACCTTCATATTAGGACGTGACATGAGTCTCATTTAGCTAGCAAAATTAAATAAATAAATAAATTATAAATAATTTTTTTTCAAATTTATTTAAAATATAAATTATTTTATGTGATTTTAAAAATTACATTACATCGCTTCAAGTTTCTAATGGCATAACAAATGACTTTTTTTATTAATAAATCATCAAATCAATTAACAGTTTTTAATAATGTCATAAATATATTTCAATTAATAATTTATGTAATTTTGTAGTTATAAAAAAGAGTAGTTATATATTTTACTTTTTTTATTAATTCTGTTAAATAAAAAATTCTAATAACATGATATTTGTAATTTTCAAAATTACAAAAGACAATCTGTATTTTAAACAAATCTCAAGGAGTGTATTTGTATTTTACACCCAAAAAATGATGTGCAATGGATATTCATTTCAAATCTTTCACTATATAAAAATTTTATATGAATCACATATCTTATTTTGAGAATATTTTTTGGGGTAAATTATAAATATATTTTCTAAGATTTGCTTAAAATACAGATTATATATTTTTGTGATTTTAAAAATTACAATACTTATTAGAATTTGTCATACAATAGAGATGACACAAATAAAAAAATAAAAAAAGGAGAAATTTTAATTTAGTGTAGACTTTGAAAAAAATTAAAAATAAATGGTAAACTTTATAAACATTAATAATTAAAATTATAAAATTTTACATTAATTTGTAATAAATTTTTAATAGTACAATTGATAGGTAATTTTTTCAAAAATAAAAATTCTTAACTATCCTCTTATACAATAATGAAATTAGTAAAACTGCTAATTTGATTAAAAATTATTAATTGACTTAATGATTAATTAATAAAAATAATTATTTATTATGCAATTATAAAGTTTAGAGGCGCAATATAATTTTTAGAATTAGAAGAGATAAGTATTTTAAATAAATTTTAAGAAGTATATTTGCTATTTATCCTAAATTTTTTGACAAATTTTTTTTATTATTATTATTTTTTATTTTTTGGGATTTATCACAGCTTTTGGCAGTTCATCCTTGGACAGGGATATATCATCATATGAGTTTGGAGGCAACCTTTGGGAATGGAGGCCTAACCTCGTTCCAAGCTAATAGGTTGCCCCCACAAGTTTTTTTCTTTTCTTTTTTTTTTTTTTGGGTACCACTAGCTTTAGCTTTAGGTTGTATCTGAAAGGAAATTGAGAGAGAGAGAGAGAGAGAGAGAGAGAGAACCATGCTAAATATATTCCCCTTTTGGGAGAGGTTTTCCTCCAATTGGATATCCTAATTGAAGGTTCCTAAACCTACCATAGAACTTGCATTAATAATTTGAATTGTTTGATATATTAGGTTTATTGAATATTTTATTTTTATAATAAATCACGTTAATTGAACTTCAACAACTATTTAATTAAATCACATTTGTATAAATAATTTATTTCAAAATTATACTTATCGTTGACATAAATGTGGTCGGATTAAGTTGTTATCGATATCCAATCAACTTAATTTTTTGAAAGAGATGAAGTATTCGACGAGTCTTATACATTGAACGGATCGGATTATCGATGCAAACTCTGTAATAGGTCCACAGAGACCTAACAACACATTCCAATTTGATTTGGATTGGAGAGAAACCTTGCCCCTTTTGTTTTGTTTGGTTTAGGTTTGTTAAATGTAATAACGTGAAAGGGGGACTTACGTATAGGTTTTAATAGATGAACTTATTATTTAATAAGTTTTATAATAATTACTAATATTTTTTATCAAACACTATTAAAAAATGTCACTAATTATTAATTTTCAGCGACAGTTTGAAAATTGTCACAAAAAATGTCACTAATTTTCAACTTTCAATAATAGTTTGAAAAATTCGACCTGGAAAAATATCACTAATTATAAGTTTTAGCGACAATTTATAAAAATTGTGACAAAAAAGTCAGTAATTGTCAATTTTTAGCGACATGCAAAAAATATCATGAAAAATTATTTTTAGCAACGATTTTATTATAACTTATTTTCAATAGGATTTGATAATAATTAAGTCTAACTATTAAGTTATTCGTAGTTTATCCAAAATGCATGGTATTTGATCTGAGCCGAAATGTTACACTTTGAAACTCTCTATCTTACATTTTTAGTCTTTTAGCTTATGATATTTGATATAATAAAGTGTTTTTCATTCCTTTCAGGTTAATATCATTGCGGAGACAAAAGGATCGCAAAAAGGGGCAAAAAGGAGCGAAAAATCCATGACTGAGTGAATTCGCACGAGCGGATTTCATTGCTCTTTGACTGGATTCGCACGAGCGGATTTTCCTCGATATTTGTGCGCTTATTTTTTACTCTGAATTGACTGGAGGCTATAAAAAGAGATTTTGAGGACTTGTTTTGGGATTAGAAACCCTAGAGAAGACGGCTAGAAGCTAGAGAAGAAGAGCAAATCATCAATCCATGACTTTCTCTTCAACATTCGAAGTGTTTAACCTCACCATGAACGGCTAAGCTTTCTTCTTAGGATTGAGATGAAACTCTAATCAAGTATTATGTAATTTTGTATTTTAATTCTAGTTTGTCTTTAGAATTGGATAATCATTGTATGATTGTTTTTAGATATTTTATTCAAATAATCTTTTCATTTGATTTATGTATTCGATTTCTGTGATTGAGAATGCATGATCATACAACTATTTTACTTTCTTGTATATACAAATTGTGAGACGAGTCATGCTTAGGGGAGGCGAATTATGCTGCAACCTTAGTTTAGTGTAGACGATTTGTGCCGACCAGTGATGATTCGTGCATACGTTTTGAATGTACTCATCTTCTTGATGATGATATTGGGCTTGTAGCCACGATATATCATTATTATCTAGGCCATTGATTTACTAGAATTGAATATTTTAATTACATGATATGAGATTAGTAGTGGATTCGAAATCCTAAGTCTCTCTCCATATTCAGATTATCTTCTTTATTTGCGCAATTGTTTAGTTCTAATTTAAATTCTCATTAGCAAAAATCAAATCATCCTCTCTTCCTCAAATTAAATTAAAAATTACTAGGTGTGTCAATTTCCGACCACACTACCAAAAGGGAAAACTCAGCTGGAGAGCACTGGCAGAATAGATTAAGCCCGAATAGCCTGTCACAGAAATATAAGAATCCCGCGGTGGTTCGTTCACCCGGGGGCACTCCGACGATCAAGTCATTATCTCTCAAAGATAGCAAAAGTGCTTAACTCACTATTCAGAGCATAAAAAGCATACCTTAGACCCATGGGGGTGCCTCCTTTTTATAGCCAACACAATCCTAGTCTCAATAGAAGCCTAGCTCTAATGGACTTAGGATTACTGCTAATCTTGGACTCCAGTAGGATTAGGATAAACTCTCTAAGAGTCTTATCTTTACCCAAACTGAAGTCTTCTCCCATTCTAGGACTCTTGTCCCTTATCCGCTTATTCCGAATTCTGGTATCTTTGCAGATAACCTCGGCCTAGCCGAGATGATCTCGGCGTCATGACCAGGACACGTGGCACCTCGGCTGGCACTTCGATTGCACCTCGGCCACGTGTTGCCATTCAAAAATTATGTCCCCACAACTACCCCCTAGGTTCTATTACCTCGGCATCCTGAGGTGATGAAACCTATATCGTTTCTTCCATTTAGCGCGTCAGCTAAGTTCGCTCTGTCCTGCACTATTTTCCAAATCTTGGTAATATGCTAATCTCAACAATATTTTGCAGATACTTCTTTAGAAATAACTTTGGCTTAACTTCAACTTGTAAATTGTTTAAAATTTCAACAAGTGCTAAACCAATTTTCTTTCAACATGACATCGATTTAACTTCAACTTGTAAATTTTAAATTTCAACAAGTGTTAAACATGACTTCGGTTTAACTTCAACTTATAAATTTTTAAAATTTCAACAAGTGTTAAACATGACCTCGGTTTAACTTCAACTTGTAAATTTTCTAAATTTCAACAAGTGTTAAACATAACATCGGCTTGAAAATTCCAACTCCCAAGCATCATTCTCCAGCCCTCTTCATGGCTTCCACCTACTCCTTTGTGGACCTTATATAAAAAGTCTTTAACTTAGGCTAAGCTTTTCTCTTCTCGGACTTAATCATCTAGGCCGAGATCCTATCTTCTGGAATTTGGGATCTGCTCACTTTAGGCTGAGCTCTTCTCTTCTCGGATCTAATCATCTAGGCCGAGATCTTGTCTTTTGAGATTCTCCATGCTCGACCTCCCGTGAAGGCCAGTGAGAATGTCCCTTGGTCCTGCCATGCTGAGGGACTGCAGGAACCATTTTCTACTTCCCTTTCTGGGCACCTTTCTTGGCCGCTGGAATTGGCGTATCTTGTAATGGGAACGGTGGTTGCATGACGTTGTTCTGCATTAGGAAATTGAGGACCGTTTGTAGGTCCGCCAATTTTTCCGCCATTCCCTTCATCTCGTCGTCCCTCCGCAGGCATCTATCTTTCCATACCTGGAGGTCGTCCTCGTTATAATACTCGCTTCGGTCTGATTTCTTTGGCACGTTGCCCTCCTGGCCAACGTCCTTTCCTCCGTGATTCTTATCATGAGTCTCTTTGTTGCAGTTGTCTTCTTTGACGTCAAGGTCAATATGTTTCCCACTCTCAGTAGGGGTGTCATCCCCAGCCTTCTCTTTCTGTCCGTCGTTGGCGATCTATTCTCCTTTCTTTCCCACAGACGGCGCCAAATTGTGTGTGTCAATTTCTGACCACACTACCAAAAGAGGGAACTCAGCTGGAGAGCACTGGCAGAATAGATTAAGCCCGAACAACCTGTCACAGAAATATAAGAATCCCGCGGTGGTTCGTCCACCCGGGGGCACTCCGACAATCAAGTCAGTTATCTCTCAAAGATAGCAAAAGTGCTTAACTCACTATTCAGAGCATAAAAAGCATACCTTAGATCCATGAGGGTGCCTCCCTTTTATAGCCAACACAATCCTAGTCCCAATAGAAGCCTAGCTCTAATGGACTTAGGATTACTGCTAATCTTGGACTCCAGTAGGATTAGGATAAACTCTCTAAGAGTCTTATCTTTACCCAAACTAAAGTCTTCTCCCATTCTAGGACTCTTGTTCCTTATCCGCTTATCCCGGATTCCACTATCTTCGCAGATAACCTCGGCCTAGCCGAAATGATCTCGGCGTCATGACTAGGACACGTGGCACCTCGGCTGGCACTTCGGTGACATCTCGGCCACGTGTTGTCATTCAAAAATTATGTCCCCACAATTACCATTCAAATTAGTGCTTTGTTTAGTTCTTTATTTTTGATTGAAAAACGACCGATCAATATTCTTTCATAATCCAAAAAAAAAAAAAACTAATATTCAACTGATGAATTAGTATTGTTTGCTAAATATTTATCTTTTACTTTCATTTAGTTGATAAATTTAAAATTCAAATATTGTGTGAATAATTTTTGTAGTGGAAATACCAAATATTTTAGATAAAATCCTTTCTTTATCTAATTTAGAGAGATTAATGCCATAATTATATTTTGATGGCATGAATCAAAGATAAGGAATAGAAATCTCGTTATTATGATTCATATTATTAGCAGTATATTGCGTTATTTATTTGAGAATAGTTTCCCTTCATATCTGTCAAGACTCCATTTCGTTAGTCTCTCAGACCTACGATAGTAGTCTAAGCCAACTATTTGTTAGGCATTGAAAAGAAAAATATATATGCAAAAAATTAGTTTAGTCAAGCATCAATAGACACATTAATTAATTGTATTTTGTTTTATAAATGCAAATGAGCAGAAAATGCAAAATGAACAAAATGCACAAAACAGATAAGTGTGAGGCATACCTCCCAAAGCCTCCAGTAGCCGCCGAGTGAATCCGCATTGCGGCGGGAGACGAAACTCATGTAGCAGTATAAGGTGGCCAGGCCGGCGCTACCCCAATCATAATCTGACACTTGGGGGAGGTGCACCAGTGCCCCCCGAAGGTATAACCCCACGGTATTTTCTCTATTCGCAAATAGGGTAGAACCGAGAAGATACATGAGGAAGCCATGGGTGTGCTAGGCAACCTTATCCGAGGTAGTGGGCTAGGACTCGGAGAAATGATCGTAAAACCAGCTGTACCTCACCATCCCATGACTGGTGATGTCTGGGATCGCTCTAAGAAGCTGACGTCGTACGGCTCTCCACTACGTCATGTCAGGATCACATAAAATCAAGGCGCCAACTCCAACTCGCAGGCTAGTAAGCATCAAAAAGTTGTATGGGGTCAGAGTCAGCTCCCCGATCGACGAGAAATGGAATGAGTCCGTGGTGTCCCACCATCTCTCAACCAAGGCCCCGTACAACAATGACGCGGCCCTCATTTGTATAAGCCCTGAGTAGAAGGGCCCAAAGTCAGCTACGTCAACTAATGCACGAACCTCCGCGAGTAATCTTTCATACCAGCGTCGGGGGCCAAATATGGATCCAAATCCGCTAATCCTCGTGGCTATCACCTGCAAATGGGAAATATATGGCATTTAACTAGTGGTCTACTTGTGTGATTCAACAATGTATCCAAACAAAGGAAAGTTTCTTACGGTGGAGACATCTGTGGATAAGTGCTTCATGGGCTCTCGCACCAAGATGTCATCATCTATCCCGGGAATAAGGCTCTCGAATCTCAAAATACCGCCCGGGGTGGAACATGTGTGCATGGTCGGTACGTAGCCACATCAAATGGCCTATCAACGAGGGAAAGCAACACGGGAGCGTCCTTGGCCCCCATGTCTGCGCCTAGGGCAACCCCAATGCTAATGGCGGGGTCCGGGATGGGAACTTTGTCACTAGCCATGGAGAAGAGTTGAGGAAATGAAGAGAAAACAAGAAAAATGTAAGGAGCTAAACCCTAGGAGAGAGAAAATAAGAGGGGAAAGTGAAAACATGAGAGTGAGTACACAAAAAACCAAGAAAACCCGTGAGAAACAAGGCAAAAACAATGAGAAACCCAAAAACTTGACCGAATCAAAATCTAATATGTTCAAAATATAGAGAAGGGGAAGAGTTTCGAAGAAAAAATGGCAAGGGTTATTGCTAATTGTGACAAAAAAAGGGGAAATCTAGAGAGAGAGGGAAGCTAGAGAGAGGAAGGAAGGTGTTTCGGATGAGGAAGTGTAAGGAAATAGGGTTTGAGTTTGTTTTAAACAAACAAATTGCGAGGAAAGGCCGAAACTGCCCCTGCCGCTATCGAAGCCCGGCCGGCTGCCTC